GCTTGTACTGTACACACTAGTATGTATGGTATTTGTATTAGTAGATTTGACACTGGTATGATATTAGGTGATTTGTTACAATACCACTAGGGTATTTTTTTTTATTTTTTTTAAGGGTACTATTCTAGTACCTATCTTATATTCACTGCATGTACATTAGCACTTTTGGTGTATTCTTCACGTTTGCCTTCACGATCTGAAATAACAATAAAATTTATTTTGTTAACTTTTACATGATCAGTCCTTTGTCTGGCAAGAATTCTGCCACTAATCTATACATTTATTTGTGATTCTGAGTTGATAACTCAGACTACCTAGGTACACTACCTTTGCTTTGTAGCTTTTTAAAGGAATATGTTTCTGTAACGTTGTGTTGTTTTACACATAATGTTTCTAATTTAACCACAAGCTTGTAGCAAGTTCTGTATGGTTATGATATTGATGTTTCTGTGATCTTAAACACAATAAGTTTGTTTCCACTTATTTAACAAACTCTGTGAATGGAGATTTAATTGATGTGCACAATATAAGCACTTTACACATCAATACCTGTTTGAAGGGTGTCTTTCAACTTAAAAAAGTTTATATATAAAAAACCTTTTAATTAGTCATAAATATATTCCACCTGGGGTGTTTGGATCACTGTCATTTCCTTTTATAGAGGAATTGTGATTCTATATGCCATATGTTTAATAATCTTTAAACAAAAAACTAACTTCAATCTAACCATTGACAAGTTAAAAGACTGAAATAACCGCTTATGAAAAGAGAAAAAAGATGTTTGACAAATTCAACAAACGGCCTTCAGGGTCCATAAAATTTGTCAGTAGTGGAATAAAATAAAATGTTACTTGGTTACTCAATTTTATTTTAGCTAATATACATTCATTCCAATTATGTTTTATCATAAATAGATTAGTGGAGAAGAAAGCATCTCTAGAGATTCAATTGATTGGCTGTATATTTTTTACCTGTCCTTTTAATAACATTAAAGTGCCAAATGAAAGGCATAGTAATGGAATTGGTAAATGTGTTTAGTGTAACTCTCTCTCCCCCAAGTGGATATTATTAGTACATACACAATTCTCATGCTGCATGTTTTTAAATGTGTGTTGTTTGTGCTAATGGTTAAGATATGGGAACAATTCTAAATGAGTTTATTCCAGTTTCAAACATTTAATTAAAAAATATAAAATCACTTCTCAAAGTGCAAGGCAAATTAAATAGTAAAAACCATGAATTTTCATGAACTTTTAATTCCTCTCCTGCACAATATTCAAATTGATCTCAAGGCTTGGATGTATCAACCGATATTGTAGCCAGGAAAAGGCACTGTTATTAGAATGAACATGCTGCCATATGTTGTGTAAGTTGATAGGTTAGTCTAAAGAACTGAGTTTTTAAGATTTGGAAGACTCTAGAAATGGGGAGAATCCAATGTGGCATCTAAAGTTATTCTATAAGGAAGGGACAGCCTTGGATAAGTCTTGCAGGCATGAGTCTGGGGTACAGGTATGAGGCACATTCACACAGCCATGCAGTGTCTATAATTTTTTTTGTGTTAAAGCATGCACATGACACTTCTGAGTTTTCCGGTTCTCTATGTATTTTTAACCATTCAATTGCTGCCTCCTTTTATTCTCTACCTACTCCTACCTCTTTCAATTAAAAATACAGTGGGGAAATTTAGCTACCACCTTGATACAAGTTTGGCTTTAGCACTGTACAAAAGGCTGTTCCTGGCTAATCATAGCAGCATCAGTTATGGGGTTGCCACAGGACAGGAATAATTATATTAATTAGACTGATGGGTATAAAGAGTCCCTTCTCCCTTTACACCACAGTCTTTTTTTTCTGTCCTTAACTTTGGCCGCCTTCTTGCATTTGTCGTGGGTTTTCTCAAATGAAGTTCAGCCTCTCTTCATTTGATGAACCCAGTAAACAGCCTTCATGAGGACTAATTGGGTTAGGTTCAGTGTAGGTACTGAACTAAAATACAGATAGGGAGCGCAACAATAAGTGCAATTAGGAATTAAAAACAATACTTATTCACACTTAATCCTCAGTGAGTATAAAGTCAACCTAAAAGTATAAGACAGTCCATAGCATAATACTATATGCAAATCAAACTTATTTTAGTTGACAAATGTAACTTTGCAGAGCCACATACAGCAGGCTCTGACTATCGGCTTTTCAGAATCACTTGTTCTGGTTGTCTCCTTTCCTCCGCTTTTAATATGAACCTTGTGGAAGACCGAGTGGGTTGAAACACATCATGCTTTAAACCTTATGGACTTTTATAAAAAAAAAAATTTTATTTATTTTTTTTATTTTATTTTTAAATCCTTGTTTATTAGAATCCTTTTACTTTGTTTTGGACTTAGGGATGTGCATGGGGAAAATATTCAGTTCGGTCCGGCATTACGAAATTCGGCAACTTCAATTGCAGCTGCTTAGTAGATAACTCCCTAATTCCCACAGTATTAGGGAGTTATCTACCAAAAGGCTGAAATACCTAAATTGGTCTTTCAGACAAATTTACTAATACTAAGTAAAAATTACTTGGATTAGTAAATAATCTGCCACTACTCGCTATACCGAGAGTAAAAAAAAAAAAAAAAGTCCCCGCTCCCAAGCCCCCACCCGTGCCGCCGAGTGGGGGCTCTCATTGTCCCCTACCCCTAAGCGGCGGGTGCCCTAAATTAGAATAAGGGGACCTATTGTCCTCCTCCTGGCTCCAACCCCTGAGCAGTGGGTGGGGGCCCTAAATACCAATAAGGGGGACCTATTGTCCCCCCCCCCCACCGAGTGGTGGGCGCGGGCCCAAAATTAGAATAAGGAGGGGGAACCCATTGTCCCACCCCCTGGCCCCTACCCCTGAGTGATGGGTGGAGGCCCTAAATACCAATAAGGGGGGGGGGGGGAACCTATTGTCCTTCTGCCTGGCCTCCACCCCTCAGTGGTGGGTAGGGGACGTAAATACCAATAAAAGGGGGACCTATTGTCCAGCCCTGGCCCCCCACTGGTGGGGGCCCTAAATTAGAATAAGTGGGGGGGACCTATTGTCCTCCCTCCTGGCTCCCAACCCTGAGAGGTGGGTGGGAGCCCTAAATACCAATAAGGGGGGGGGGAACTATTGTCCTCCCCCTGGCCCCCACCCCTAAGTGGTGGGTGGGGGTCCTAAATGCCAAAAAGAGGGGGTACCTATTGTCCTCCCCCCTGGGCCCCACCCCTGTGCAGCAGGTGGGGGCCCTAAACAAAAATGTAAACCCCCCCCAGTTACCCCCCCTGCCAACAAAATTAACCCCTACCTGCTCCCCTCACCCTAAATATAGTGAGGGGGACCAATAAATGAATTAAACTTACCATTTGATGTCTCTTTTTTTCTAAAAAAAAAATTTCAGCCCACAAAAATGCAAACTAAAAATCCATAATAACCGTCGCACTTTGAAAAGAAAAAACAGAGCATAAAAAAAAAATCCATCCTCACCCATGGAGGGCTCCATGCAGACTGAGCTCTGCAGGGTGGTGGAAGGCTTATAAAGCCTTGCCCCGCCCTGCAATTAGGCTCAGAGCACTCTGGTTGGTTGGTTTAAGCCATCCAATCAGAGTGCTCTGACAGGTAAATGAAGAGACTGACAGGTAAGTCTCTACATTTACCTGTCACAACACTGATTGGTTAGCTTGAAATCCAGCCAATCAGAGTGCTGTCATTTTACACAGCGTGGGAAAGTTCTTTGGAATTTTCCCATGCTGTGTAATTTGACTCATAACTCTCTGGTTACTTTCAATCCACCAATCAGAGTTATGAGTCAAATTACACAGCGTGGGAAAATAGGTTCCCCCCCTGCTTATTGGTTTTTAGTGCCCCCACCCATCACTCAGGGGTGCGGGCTGGGGGGGCAATAGGGTCCCCCTTCAGGAAAGAAAGCCCCCACTCGCCGGCATGGGTGGGGGCTCGGGAGGGGGGGACACTTTTTTTTTTTACTGTTTGACTGTTTACTAGACATGCCCCTACTCACGGTATAGCAAGTAGGGGCATAATTTACTAATACTAAGTAATCTTTACTTAGAATTAGTACATTTGTCTGAAAGACCAATTTAGGTCTTTCAGCCTTTTAGTAGATAGCTCCCTAATACCGTGGGAATTAGGGAGTTATCTACTTATTCATTCCTGTCATTCTGTTGACTGGCTAAGTAACTTACATTTTATATGAATGTGTTACTTGATTGTTGTAAGTGTTGCAAATGCTTACAGCTGAATTCTGGCTATGTTTGTATACTTTTTATTCAAACTTGTATACAGTGTAACATTCTTCATTCTTCTACTGAGTAGGTATATTAGTACTTCGGCAATACTGTACTTCGGCAACTTCGACACTTCGACACTTTGACAATTCGGCAATTTCTGAACTTTGGCAATTCGGAAGAATCTGAATGTCCGAATTGCCCAAAATTGCACATGTCTAGTTTTGGTTAATAAAATCCTTTTAACATTATCTCCATCTGAATTCCTGTTGAAGTCTTGCTGGATTCCTGGTAGCAGTGGCTGCATTTAAAATTGGAGGAGAGGAGACAACCAGAACAAGTGTTTCTGAAAAGCCTATATAGTCAGAGCCTGCTAGATGTGGTTCTGCACAGTGTGAGTTAACATTTGTCACCTAAAATAAGTTTGTTATGCACATACAGTATTATGCTATGGACTGTTTTATACTTTTAGGTTGACTTCATACTCACTGAGGATTAAGTGTTACATAGTTACATAGTTACATAGCTGAAAAGAGACTTGCGTCCATCAAGTTCAGCCTACCTCACATTTGTTTTTTGCTGTTGATCCAAAAGAAGGCAAAAAAAAACAGTTTGAAACACAATTTTGCAACAAGCTAGGAAAAAAATTCCTTCTTGACCCCAGAATGGCAGTCAGATTTATCCTTGGATCAAGCAGTTATTACCCTACATTGAAGATTATATCCTTGAATATTCTGTTCTTGCAAGTATGCATCTAGTAGCCGTTTGAACATCTGTATGGACTCTGATAAAACCACTTCCTCAGGCAGAGAATTCCACATCCTGATTGTTCTTACAGTAAAAAAACCTTTCCTTTGCCTTAGGCGAAATCTTCTTTCTTCCAGTCTAAACTCATGGCCTCGTGTCCTATGTAAAGTCCGGTTTGTGAATAAATTTCCACACAATGGTTTGTATTGGCCACGAATATATTTGTATAATGTTATCATATCCCCTCTCAGGCGACGTTTTTCTAAACTAAATAGGTTTAAATTTGTTAACCTTTCTTCATAGCCGATATGTTCCATTCCTTTTATTAATTTTGTAGCCGCCTCTGCACTTTTTCTAGTGCCATAATATCCTTCTTTAGAACAGGTGCCCAAAATTGCACAGCATATTCAATATGAGGTCTTACCAGTGATTTATAAAGAGGCAAAATTATATTCTTGTCCGAGAATGAATGCCCTTTTTCATGCATGACAATACCTTACTGGCCTTGGCCACTGCTGATTGACATTGCACATTGTTGCATAGCTTGTTGTCTATAACAATTCCCAAGTCCTTTTCATGTGTTGTTATCTCTAATTCGCTTCCATTAAGGGTATACGTTGCTTGTGTATTCTTTATGCCGAAGTGCATAACTTTGCATTTTTCAACATTAAATTTCATCTGCCATTTGAGTGCCCAGTCCCCCAGTCTATCTAAGTCCCTCTGCAGCAAAGTAATATCTTGCTCACATTGTATTGTTTTACAAAGTTTGGTGTCATCTGCAAACACTGGAACATGACTTTCAATGCGGTCTTCAAGATCATTTATAAACATGTTAAATAGAAGGGGTCCCAGAACAGACCCCTGAGGGACACCACTTGCCACCTCTGTCCAGCTTGAAAATTTACCATTAATGACAACTCTTTGTACTCTGTTTTAAGCCAATGTTCTACCCAAGAACAAGCATTTTCATCTAGACCGATTTCCTTGAGTTTGAACACTAATCTATTGTGTGGAACTGTATCAAATACCTTGGCAAAATCCAAATAGATCACATCCACGGCAACACCCTGATCTATACTTCTCCTTACTTCTTCGTAGAACGCAATCAAGTTAGTTTGACATGACCTGTGCTTCATAAAACCATGCTGATTTTTGCTGATAACCATGTTCTTCTCAAGGAATTCTTGAATATTATCCCTTAATAACTTTTCAAATATTTTACCAGCCACAGAAGTTAAGCTCACAGGTCTATAATTTCCAGGCAAGGATTTTGAACCCTTTTTGAATATAGGAACCACATCTGCCTTCCTCCAATCCTCGGAACACTTCCTGAAAGAAAAGAATCTTGAAAGATTAAAAACAGAGGTTCACTTATTTCTACACTTAGTTCCTTAAGTACTCGTGGATGGATACCGTCAGGCCCTGGAGCTTTGTTTATATTAACTTTCTTTAGTTGCTGCAGCACCTTGTCTTGAGTTAACAATTACAATTATTCTGCAAGTTTTTAGTAGCAATCATTTGCACATCTATTGCCATGGGTTCTTCCTTAATATATACGGAGGAGAAATAGTTATTTAAAATTCCTGCCTTTTCCTGGTCTTCATTAATTAACACCCCGTTTCAGTTTTTAGTGTACCTACACTTTCATTTTGTTTTTTTTTAGAATTTATGTACTTAAAAAATGCTTTGGGGTTGGTTTTGCTCTCTTCAGCTATCATTATTTCATTTTGAAGTTTAGCAAGTCTAATTGCCTTTTTGCACGCATTATTTGCTTCCTTATATCTTTTATAAGATGCATCTGATTTGCCCGATTTAAATGCTTTAAATGCCCTTTTCTTATTTTTAATCTCTTGTTTTACTTCTCTACCTAGCCACATTGGTTTTAATTTGTTTCTTTTATATTTATTTCCCAATGGTACATACTGAGAAATGTACCTTTCTAATATTTGTTGGAAGATGATCCATTTATCCTCCGTGTTCTTTTCACTAAAGAGTTTATGCCAGTCAATATATTGTAAAGCTTCCCTTAACTTATTGAAATTAGCCTTTTTAAAATTATATGTTTTAGTATTCCCCATGTGCTTTTGTTTTTTTGAGTTTATTTCAAAGGACACTATATTGTGATCACTATTTCCCAAGTGCTCACCTGCTTGAATGTTGGTCAAAAGATCAACGTTGTTTGTTAAAACCAGGTCCAGACAAGCATCCATTCTAGTTGGTGCTTGTACAAGTTGTGACATGAAGGTGTCATTTAACAAGTTTAAAAACCTAATTCCTTTTGCTGAGGCACTAGTCCCTCTGTCCCAATTTATATCCGGGTAATTAAAATCTCCAATAATTAAAGTGTTACCCAGATTTGCAGCTTTCTCAATTTGCTCAAACAGCTGTTGTTCCTCGTCAATATTAACATTAGGTAGTTTATAACATATCCCAACCAATAGTTGGTTTCCCTTCTTTTCCCCCAAGCAGATATTTACCCATAAAGCTTCCACATTATCCTCCTCGCATTCCATTTGCTTAACATTTGGCTTTAAATCATGTTTGACATACAAACATACCCCACCACCCTTCTTGTTTTTTTCTATCCTTCCTAAATAACGTGTACCCATTTAAGTTAGCTGCCCAGTCATGTGTCTCATCCCACCATGTTTCAGTTATGCCTATTATATCATATTGTTTAGTGTATGCTAATGCCTCTAGTTCCCCCATTTTGTTATTTAGGCTTCTTGCATTAGTAAGCATACATTTAATATTATGCATCACTTGCATATTTTGTGAATTTTCAACATTACACAGCTTCTCTGTTCTGAGCTTGCCCCTCCCCCCGTTTCCACCCCCCTTATACTGTGCTAAAGCCCATCTCCTTTCTGTCCTATCTCCATTTTGTAGATTGCTATGACCCTCCCCCCCTACTGCTAGTTTAAAATCTCCTCCAACCTTCTAGCCATCCTATCCCCCAGCACTGCAGACCCTCTCCCGTTTAGGTGCAATCCATCACCACTATAAAGGTTGTACCCAATCGCAAAGTCGGCCCAGTGCTCTAAAAACCCAAAACCCTCCTTCCTGCACCAAGACTTAAGCCACGCATTGACCTCTCTAATCTCCAGCTGCCTTTCCACTGTAGCGCGTGGCACAGGTAATATCTCAGAGAATACCACCTTGGAGGTCCTTTTCTTAAGTTTGCTACCTAATTCCCTGAAATCATTCTTTAGGACCTTCCATCTTCCTCTTACTTTGTCATTGGTACTAACATGGACCATGACCGCTGGGTCATCCCCAGCCCCTCCCAATAATCCATCCACTCTGTCAGCAACATGCCGGACCCGAGCACCCGGGAGACAGCAAACTGTCCGGTTGAGCCGATCAGAGTGGCAGATTGCCCTATCTGCTCTCCTAATGATAGAGTCCCCTACCACCACAACCTGTCTTGCCTTCCTTACATTTTGATCCCCACCCGTACTAGGGGGCCTGTTAGCTCGGCTGTTAGAAGTAACAGCTTCCTCTAATACAGCTACTCCTGAGCTGATGCTCCCAACATCTTCCCTCAAACGGGCAAATCTGCTAGGTTGCACCAAATCAGGACTAGCTAGCCCTTTCCTCTTCCCTCCCTGCTTCCCTCGCCCTGTCACCCAGCCCTTGCCTGTTCCCATATGTCTGCCTCCTCCCTCTCACTACCTGTCCCCACTAAACTCTGCTCAGTGAGCAGTAGACTCCTCTCAATTGTCAATCTCCCCTCAATATTTCGCGATTTGCTTCTCCAGATCTCCAATCTGAGCTTCCAGAGAAACCACTAGCACACAACCATCACAGAGTATGGACCCTGGACAGGTACATCCAGTCAGCCATACAGCCACAACAAGATGTGCATTGAGTTAAACCAGCAATCTTGCTACTTACTCATATCCCCTTTAAACGGGAAAAAACAATTACCTTGATAGTTTGAACCCTTGTTAGTTTTAACTCCTGGTTTTCTAACTCCTACTTGAAAGAGTCTACTTAACCCCTTAAGGACGGAGCCAAATGTACACATTGTGAACAAAACAAAATGTAAACAAAACCTGGCATTTGCGCTACATGTCTGTCAACCGTAATACACCTCTTTCATAGTAAATGCACCCACCCTTATTATATATCATTTTATTCAGGGGAAACAGGGCTTTCATTTAATATCAAATATTTAGCTATGAAACATAATTTAATATGAGAAAAATGGGAGAAAATACGTTTTTTTTGGATTTTTTTAGTTCTACATTATATTTTAACGGTCAGTGTCATAATACTGTTTGCTTTTACTGCAATAAAATACACATATTTATATTCAGTAAAGTCTCACGTGTAAGACAGTACCTCCTATGTACAGGTTTTATGGCGTTTTGGGAAGTTACAGGGTCAAATATAGCACGTTACATTTGAAATTGAAATTCGCCAGATTGGTTACGTTGCCTTTGAGACTGTATAGTAGCCGGGGAATGAAATTTACACCCATAATGGCATACCATTTGCAATAGTAGACAACCCAAGGTATTGCAAATGGGGTATGTCCAGTCTTTTTTAGTAGCCATTTGGTCACAAACACTGGCCAAAGTTAGCGTTGGTATTTGTTTGTGTGTGAAAAATGCAAAAAATGCCAATTTTGGCCAGTGTTTGTGACTAAGTGGCTACTAAAAAAGACTGGACATACCCCGTTTGCAATACCTTGGGTTGTCTACTATTGCAAATGGTATGCCATCATAGGGGTAATTTTCATTCTTGGGCTACCATAGGGTCTCAAAGGCAACGTAACCAATCTGGCGAATTTTAATGTGAAAAAAATGAAACACAAGCCTTATATTTGACGCTGTAACTTTTGAAAACACCATAAAACCTGTACATGAGGGGTACTGTTGTACTCGGGAGACTTCGCTGAACACAAATATTTGTGTTTCAAAACAGTAAAAGTATCACAGCAATAATATTGTCCGTGTAATGCTGTTTGTGCGTGAAAAATGCAAAAACTTCACTTTTACTGGCGATATCATCGTTGTAATACATTTTACTGTTTTGAAACACTAATATTTGTGTTCAGCGAAGTCTCCCGAGTAGAACAGTACCCCCATGTACAGGTTTTATGGTGTCTCGGAAAGTTATAGGGTTAAATATAGTGCTAGCAAATTAAATTCCCTTACTTTCGGCATGGGTTGTCAGGCAGGTCCCGCTAATTGTAATTAATTAAGATACCTAATTATGTAAAAATATTACATAAATATATATGTAGAATTAATATATGTATATATATACGTATGTGTATATATATGTAT